CACCAGTCTGCAATTGTCAAGTTGACAAATATTACTGATTTCTTGATAACAATGGACTTCAGTATCACACCGCTTGAGGAGATCTACTCAGTTAATAAGGCCTAGAAAGTCTTTTTTATAAGCAATAACGATGAAGGGCCAGGGCATTTCCTGGGGATTAATGACCAGCTGGGAGAGCTGATGGCTTGAAGCAATGCCTCGGGCCATTAACCCAAGCCAGTCATTAATTTCCCCAGGAAATGCCCTGGACCTTGATCATTATAGCTATATTATTCAAAAGGTAGCTAAAGGAGAAAAAAAGTTTAACATTGATTTTCTATTTAAAAATGGAAAAAAAAAATCTATCCTACATTTATAAAGCAAAGATATTTTCATTCTGTGATATGTCCCATAAGGAAAAAAAATGCACTTCTGTTCCAACTGATGCTGGAATGAGCAGTTAACTTCCCCCAAGTATCAGTAAAGATTTAAATTAATCAGTTTTGTAAAGAAAGCAAAATGAGTCTTTTCTTCAGAAGAGAGTGTGTAGTTTGTTCACCATTAAATGAGCTAAACAAGGATGAATTGAATGTTCCCATATAATTACATCAAAATTCACGCTAACATTGTCACTGAGTGCTCATTTTCTTTCTTGATAAGGTCAAGAAAGAAAACATCCTGTGTCTCTTAAAATCTACTTTATATATTTCTGTCTTAATAGCCTTGCTTTTTGTCTGCAATTGTCATTGGTATTAAAAAAAAATGATAACAGAGCACTTAAACTTCTCCTTAGGTAAACTTTATGTAAGCATTATAATAAGTAGTAGAAATTTCAAGGTAAGGCCTGGTATCAAACCATACAGTATTATGACTCAAGGAGAACTACATTAACTAAGACGAATAAAGTGGCCCATCTTGATAAAAGTAAAAGTGTGTTTATTCATACACATCTGTCTGTCAAGCCTTATTCCCTTTGTCTCTTCCTTACTCACGTACACAGAGCTATTCTAAACTAAAATACCTTTAAAGTTTTAAAATCTCTTTCCAAGTCATAAGCCAATGAATGGGTAAGTTTATGGTTAAAAATATAGTGAATAGAGTTAGCTTATATCTGAAATAATAAGCTAGAACAAAAACACTATCTGCTTATAATCAACCCTCTAAGCTATTCAAAGACACCAGATATACACAGCAGGAGATCAAACTACAGTACTGCACTCAGTAACCAAAACCCCCATTAGTAAGGAGAGGTCACATGTATTTTAGACAACATAAATACTATAATTCACAGAAAGATTCTTTTTTCAATTAGCCTTCAGGCTAGTTGATTAGCTGGCAAACTGTTTGAAAGGGTCAGTTTGTCCAGAACTGGTATATCCACTTTGGAAACCGCTCAGGCATGTCATATACCTGTGTTCACTGAACAGTGCTCTTTCAGGCCTATGACAGATGATTATTGCTTGACCACCAGAATGTCAGAGGGTTTTTTGTAATCACCTACTGCAGCTAGCATTAAAAGTATTGCCCGAAACACGGAGTGCAAGATAACTGAAGAAAGTTTTACAGATTTAGTTAGAATGAATTCCTATTTCCAACTCAACAGTAAAAGTGTTCTTCAGTATCTCTTTTAATTAAGTGTCCTAAGGTAACTTTGGGTTTAAACACACCAAATAAATAAAATAAATAAATAAATGGGAAAGGATTGGGGGAAGGGTGCATGTGTGCAGGTGGAAAGGCTGTTGATGCATACACCAAGACCTATACCTATTCAATGTTTTTGACAAGGCTACTTTGCTTATATGAAACATACCTACCCAATCTGATCTCATTCCACAGCTACACTATGGCTAACTCAAGGAATTATGCTGTTACTACATATTTTGACATTATAGGACACGGTCTATTTTGATGCAATGATAACTAATGCAACTGTGCAAATAAAGCCAATTTACTTTTTTAAAAGAATGGTTGCCAGGAAACAGCTATTTTAATAAATACACAAGATGAATGCAATTGTCAATTAACTCTCTTGAGAACTTCTACAGTTTAAAATTACACCCTCCTTACTAAGGTGTAATTGAGTATTTTCTTGGCTGTTTCCTGCATTTATGAGGTTATTTAAACAACTCATTAGCACATCAAGAACACCATGCATGCTAATTATCTTTCAAATTCTTATTTAATATTTTGACTTTATTTACATAACTCACTTCTACTGTAAAAAGAAAACAGGAGCCTGCACAGTCCATTTACTAATCCTATTGTTCTGGGAACACAATTCTAAACTTTTGCTTAGCAGTGATTTGGGATTTCATACTTCCTTCTTCTCACAAACAAAGTGATTAACACTAAGCTTGCTCTAAGTCACAGAGAGCCCAAACTTGCAGCTAACACCAGTGCAATTACTTAGAGAGCTCCGGGGGGGGCGGGGGGAAGGAGGGAGAAAGCACGGAAGTTTAGTAACTTGCAACAAGACTATTTCATGCCTGTACAGTGAGACTTGCACTAGAGGGCCAAAGAGGCAGCAGCTGCCTGTCTGAAGTGTGGCCGCTCTGGGACTGCTCCCAGGGTGTGCACTGTGCTTTGGTCCTTGCAAGGGGGTCTGGTGTTGGCTGGAGCAGGCGGGGGAGGGTTTGGGAAGCGAAGAGGGGGTTGTGTATAGAGATGGGTCGGGTTTTCTTGTTACCTGTGTGGGGGAAACAATAGCAGGTGAAACTACTGTGGGTGAGTTGGTGCTTCTGTGCCCATTGGCTTCGGGGAGGAGGAGAGGCAGGGGGTCGTGTTTCACTGACACCACCACCACGGAGGCAGCGGCAGTAGCAGCGTCCAGGGGCTCGGCGGGACGGAGGCAGAGTCTTTTGGGGGACGAGGAGGGGCCGCAAGCATCCCCCCCGGCCACGGCCGCCCCAGTGTACACCGCCTCGTAGAGGGAGCGCTTGACCGGGGTCACAGCGGCCGCTTCTGCCTTCACGTGGGGGACGTCGCTGTCTTTGGGGAGGATGTAGGTGTTGGCTGGGGCGGGCGGGGGCCGGTGCCGGTGCCCGCCGTTGAGGATGGCCTGGGCGGCGGGGTAGCAGCCCCCTGCCGCCCCGGCGGGGTGCGGGTGGTGCCCGCCCAGCTTGGTGCCGATGCCGGCGATGCTGTTGAGGGTGGCGATGGAGACGGCGCCGATGCAGTGATTGGTGTAGGTCTTGGAGAGCTTGGCCGCCTTGGAGAGCATCTGCATGCGGGTGCCCAGCAGGTTCTTGCCGATGGCCTTGTTCTCGTACCAGGTGACATCGCCCTCGCTGCAGTGGTCCCGCGGCCGCTGGAAGAAGGCCTTGCAGAGCGGGTTGCGCTTGGCCAGGTACTTGACGAAGCTGGAGTAGGGGCAGAACTCGGTGCCCGTCTCGTACATGCGGGGCAGGTTCTCCTCGTCGCTGCTCTCCGCCCGCTTCTTGCTCCAAGAGGAGGAGCGCGACTTGTGGTAGGGCCCCAGGGACTTGAAGTAGACGAACTTGCGGCCGTCCTCGTCCATGGCCAGCCCGAAGGAGTCCTCCTCCAGCTCGCGCTGGTTCTCGCGGCCCCGCGTGCAAAAGTACATGCAGGTCTCGAACCAGACCTTGTTGAGCAGCCCGAAGGGGCTCTGCGTGCTGAACACGCTGCAGGTGTACAGCTTGCGAAGGTCCGCCCGCGTGATGGCTTGTTTCTGCACCACCGGCCCCGCGCCCTGCTCCTCCAGCTTGCGGATCACCGCCGCCAGCGTCAGGTTGGCGGCGCGCAGCTCCGGGTCCTTGGTCAGGTCCAGGGTGCGGCAGTAGGGCGGCTCGTTGAGGTAGCGGTTGAGGGAGCTGCGGATGCTGATGAGCGAGGACTTGGAGTAGAGCTGGCCGCTCTTGGAGCGGGCCTCGGCGTAGAAGGAGCGCAGCACCCGGCACAGCGCCCCCTTGTCCATGGTCTCGAAGTCCGGGCTCTGGGACTTCTCGCTCAGGTACTCCCGGAAGATGCGCACCGCGTAGCGGGTGGCCAGCCGGGTGTTCTCGCTCAGCCGGGCCCGCTCGGGGCGCTGCAGCAGCAGGTCGGTCTCCGGGTCCGAGTCCTCCGCGCCCCGGGCGCTAGCGGTGACTGGGGCGCCCCCAACTGCTGCTGCCCCGATGCCGCCGCCACAGCCGCCTCCAAGGCGGCCGCCACCGCCGCCGCAAGAGGAGTCCAGCCCGCCGCTGCCCCGGTCCATACTGATCATAAGGACCGGCTCGGGCTCCAGCGGCTCCTCCTCGCCGTCCCACTCCAGCCCCATTTCCTCCTCCTCCTCCTCCTCGTCCAGTAGCAGGAGCCCCCCCATCGGCGCCGTCCTCCTCGTCCCCCGTTACTCTGCACCTCCTGGATCTCATCGTCGTCCTCCCCGTCCTCGTCCTCCCCCGCGCTGCAGTAGTGGTGGGGGCGGTGGGTGCCGCCGCGGCCCGGCGGCCGGTCCCCCCCATTGTTCTCCCCGCCGCCGCTGCCGGTGTTCCAGTCGCCGCCGCTGCCAGGCATTCTCGCCATATTGCCGTCTCCCTGCCAGTCCTCGGGCAGGGCGCATGCGCTATATTGGACCGCAGCGCTGGAGAGCTTTTGTGTTTAATGACCTTCAGCTACCGGGAGGCAAAGCTGGGCTCTTAAAGGGGCCGCGCGCTCCCAGCGGCGGCGGGGGCTGTCGCGCGGCGGGAGAGGGAAGGGAGAGCGCGGCGAGGCATGCGGCGGTGCGCGGTAGGGGGGGACGCCAGCGGAGCGAGCGCCGGCCTCAGCACCCAGGCTGCGGGAGCTACTTACCCTCACTCCCTGCCGGCCAGCCCGCGGGCTCTAAGTGATGCCTGGCGAGCAGCACAGCGGCCCCCCGCCCCTCCATCGCCCCCCAGAGCCCGGGGATCCCGCCCCGTGCTGGGCGCTGGACCAGCCTCTCGAGCGGGTAAGGAAGGGAGAGCGCGGGGCAGCCCGTTCCCCCCGGCCCCGCGGTGCAGCGAGAGCGGCAGCAGGTGAGACACAGGGGCGCAGGCATCGCACACGGGCGGCTCGGCTCCTCCCTACCTCGCCGCTCTACCAAGCCCCCAGCAGCAGCAGCAGCGTGTAACTCACTCTCGGACTCCGGCAGGAGTGAAACTTCGTGTCATCACTTCAGCCTGGCTCCCCGTTACCCTCGGTGCCGCTTCGGCCCAGGCTCGGGTTCCTTGACACTACAGCGGCCGGGGAGTAGAGGCCCGGCTGTCTAGGCAGTAGGTACAAGTCCCGCTCAAAGTCCTTTCCTAGACCGATCTGCTCTCTCCCCACTGCTAGCTAAAAACCGACTCGCAGCCTTGCTGTGTCGGGCTTTGCAAACAGCCCGCTTGTTTCCTGCCTTGTTGTTAAGAAACCAGCAAGTAGCACAGGAAGCCGCCGGGGCTAGGAAAACCCACACAACACTCCGCAGGCAACGAGGCAGTCCAGATCTATCCGGACCGCTGGGACAGGCAGCTGCACATACGCAAAGCGCCGCGCTAGCTTTGCTGAGCACAGGCACCAACATTTTCCTAGACTGCAGCTTTGCAAAAAGCCTTAAACTTATTTTTAGCTTCATCATTTTAAAACTAGATCCCACCGTGGCAAAATCCAACAGTTTGGAACCCTCTAAGCAGCTCCGAGTCATGCTCCGTTTCCCATTTCTATCATTCGTTTCCTTCTGATGACATTCTGAAGATTTCACAAACTTATCTCCGTGTTATTCTGATCATTTTCCTCCCTTCCTCTCACTTTTTTCCTACATTGTAAGCTTTCAAAAACTTAGTCAAAGCAGCACGAAAACATACGCAGCGTCTTCTTTTTACAACTCTCCCCCCTCCCCCCAAACAATATAGAAAGGAAGTGATCAGAAACTTTAAACACCATCACTACTTAATATCACAAATCTGGCTAGATTGATTGAGGTTTACTCGGTGCTTTTGCTCCTCCCCTATCCTCCTCACTGACCAAAATACTCTTCCCCCACCCTTTTCTGTAGTTGGTGTATTTTCAGCTAGAACAAAGGTGGGAAGGAATCATGTGAAGACACAGACCAGTCAGAACAGGTACCAGAATACCCCAGCTATGATTAATAGTTAAAAGGGGAGTCTGTGGATATTGTGATCCACAAAAGGTGATGGAAAGTTATTGACATTCCCCAAGTGAATTTTGTTTTTATAATAAGGGGTTGGTTGTAGAGCAATTTTGTTAAACTGGATCACCTCTTTCCGAGATGGCACAAATGTCACAAAGAACCCATAACACATTTTAACTCTAATAATAAGTTTCATTTGTTTTAAAATGCCCACCTCAGTCTATTTGCAAGAGTCTATCACCCTGTTGGCTTACCATTAATAATCCTCTCTTTTATAAACAGGTAATGTCTGGAGCCATGGTAGGGGGCAGTTTATATGGAGTTCAGTTCTGCAGTACAATGATCCATAAAAACTATGGATGAATAATACAAAGCTAGTCTAAGAGGGAAAATTTGAAGGGGGGAGTGCACATTCTTTAGTAATCTTATTGGAGCATGTGAAAGAATGATAGCAATCCTACCTCTCTTGAGAAGAAGGCCTCTGCTTCTATCTATATATGGCTCACCTATAAGTAACTACAGTATAAAGTGTGATCATATTTTGACAAGGGACTTGGTAAAAGCAGGATCTGGAGGGTTCTACATGTAGTGTGTCAATTTCCAGATCAGAAGTTCTGAGTTTACAGGTGTGTGTTTTTGTTTGTTTGTTTGTTTTTAAACCTACCAGCTTTGAAAGCCAAGATGGTGTTTTGTGTGTGCTTCACCACCAGAAAGAGTCAGTAGGCCAAATGATGCTTCCAATTACAGTTGTGCATGTGTATCGCCTTCACTTGGGCTGCATAGATAAAACAGAGGGCATAATTTGAACAAAATGGAGATCCTATTGTAGCGCTACCTGTCTGTCTTAGTTAACAGTTCTGTTGATCAGTCACACACAAAAAAATCCATTTTTTTCTTATGCTGCCATGTTTTTGCAGTAATGAGTGGAAAAATTAAAATAAATAAAAACATCAGAGAAACTGAATACTCAGAGAAAGCAGATCTGCCTAATAAAGTTTTGCCATTTTTGGTCACTTTTTAGACTACAAATTCACTTTTACAGCCTTTTTAGCCTTGGTTCTATTTCACTGCATGTAACATGCATTTATATTAGAAAATTACTGTGGGATGAGGGCTCCCCCCCAAAAAGATTACCATTATTATATTCTCAGAACAGAACTCTCTTTATGCTCAATGGAAAGCTGCTTTTCAGAGCACCCTCCCAAAATAAAAAAATAAATTATTTGCACCTCCACTAACAGGTTAGTTACACCCATGTATGGCACAGTTCAGTTTATATTTCATCAGTAAGAATTTTCTAACTCCATTCAGCTAAATATTTGTAGGCAAAGCTTGATATTTCTCACTATACTATGAAGTTCAAATAGGATAGCATGTTCCTGATATAGATTCAGATTCAATACAAATTTAAGTTCCTCCTCCACTCCACCTCTAGTACTGTGGGAGTTTTGTTGGCTGTTGAACAGTTTGCGGCTATTTTTTGTCAGACAGGTGATTTCTTGATATAGTTTTATAAACTGAAATAAATATTTGCCCTAAGCTGCTACTATGGGCAGTCATTGCACCTGAAATCAATCTTAATTGCAAAATTGATGGTTGGTGATTAAAGCGGGTATACTAATCTGTAGGACATTCTTTAATGCTGAGAACCAAGGACTTTTACTCTTTAAGCCTTCTAGAACAATTTTCAGTTTAGGTAATCCATATGAGTCACAGACCAGACAGCCAGTTATTTTACACAAGGCTAAGCTTCAGTTCAGTATAGCCACTCGAGGAGGAACATATACATGAAGCTCACCCAAGCGATAGCACTCTTTCTGCTGCACTAAAATTATTAACGGTAATTGCAATAGAGACAAATTAGTATGTAGAATTGATGTACAAATTTTAGAACAGATTAGACAAATTTGAAATAAGCACAGCATGATGCTTCAGAAAAAGTGCTCAACTACCATGCCCAAAATATAATTGAAAGGAGTATTGTGTTACACCAGAGTAATTACACAGGAGTCAAAAAAGTTACTGTGCTTGCACTAATGCAACTGAGCAGAGTATTAAAGGCAGTCATCATATAGGGAGATTTTTTTTTCTATCCAAATAATCTCCTGATGGAAAGTTATTTGTATCATCTTCTATTTGCAGCCCAGTCCTGAGCCAGAATCTACGAGACTGTACACAGAGGAGGACTTTAAGTCAGAACAGACATTTACAAAGCTGAGAGACTATGCTGTGGATAAGACCTGAAAGACAATGAGAAATTCTTCACCTTCGGAAAAAAAAAAATCAATCTCAAGGGCTAGTGATCTGTGAGTGTCTTAGAGTTTATTTCTAAATGTAATTCCCATATGCGCTAAAAACGATTAGCTAATTAACAATTGACTTCCATTTTTAAAAAATGTTGCTTTTATTGTATAGGAGGATCACAGAAAACATGAACGCATGTATCTAAAAAAATTCAGTACCCCTGAGGGCAAAAGGAAATAAAACTTATTTTTAAAATTTAAAAAAAGAAAAGCCATCAGCTTGACAGCTTCTGTGTCTGGGTGTTCTTTCAATCATTGATTCCTGATTACAGGAAATCTACAACCTTGAGAGACCTGGAGTTGCATGTGGAGTCAAGTACATAATGAGTAAGTAAGTAAAAGAACTTTGAGTGAGGTTGGAGAGGAGAAAGGACACACCGGGCAACCTTAATATAAACATCACTATATATTCTAGACACCTCAAACAGGAGGGAATTTAGAGAACAAAAATAGTTAACAATGGATTGTAATTGGGGAGAAATTAACAGTTCATCTTGAATATCAGGTAAGAAGTCTTCCTGGAGGTGAGACTTAGCCTGCACAGGTGTATCCCAAAAGAACTGGAAACCCTATTGCTCAAGACATTTAAAACTAGATTGGACTGTAGAGAATAAATTCTACATTGCTCAACCTCTTTGCCAAAGTCATCTAATTCTAACTGTCATGGTATTACTTAAACCCTAATCAACGCATCTACTCCACCTTCCATGGAGCTCGAAACCCCAGTTCTGCAATGAGCACGGAGAATAGGCCCAAGTCCTACAATGTTCAAACATAAGCCCTGTGCACACTGATAAAATAATGTATATTCCAAGCAGTATTAAACACATTTTAACTAACAGGATGTTAAACACCAAGTAACACTATCAACGTACCTGCCCCATTGATGTTCACCACTGGCCTCAGTTTCCCTTTCCCCCCCCCAATCCCTTTAAGTATTCATATGCCACAGAACTAGTATTCCAAATTAGGACCTCTCCTCTGGGTTCTGATTTATTAATGGTTTTACACTAAAGGTATTCAACTCTTTACCCTTGTATCCAGCTCCCCAGCCCTTTGAGGCCTTTTATCACAGCTTCCCGCTAGTCTTGCTCCTGTCCCGATCCCTCTGCACAGGCAGCTCACCAGTTCCACAGAGCTGCCTGGGGAAGAAATCCTTTTGAAGACTGCTGTGAAAAGCCCCACACCAGATCTTTCCAGTTCCTAATCTCCTTCAACCTGAACTCAGTCTACTTCTCATATAGTCCTTGTAGGTAGTCACCGGTCCCCATTATTCTTCCTGGTCATGCGTCCCTTCTAGTCAGGTGCTTCATGGGGATTTCCCCCAAGAGCTAAAAATACCCAGAAGTCCATCCTTAAAAGGTCAAGTGGTGTAATGGACATGCTAAGCCTATTTGAGCCCTCTGTAATGGGCAGAGCCCAGAAGGGGATTCCATTTATGAAAACACCAACATTTTCCCCCTTAACAGAGGCTAGGGAGAAACAGAACACAAGGGTCACCTAAGTGGCTTGTGGAAATGAAGAACAAAACCAGAGTGGGGGTGAGGAGATCAGGGTTCAGAATGAGGGATTTGGAAGGGGTCATTGAGAAGACACCCACTATTACCAAAAAAAAAAGGGTGCCATCGAATACCACCCAGAGGAGCGATCCAACAAGTGTAAGGGGTTAGGTCCCTCCTGCTGCACTGAGAAATGGCTGTTTTGGGAAGTGCTAAAATGACCCTATTTAATCCTTGAGAAGAAGTGGGTTCCTCCCAGAAAAAACAAATGATCATCCCTGAAGGGAAGGAAGAGGTTGCAAAAAACACAAAAACAAAACAAGGATCAACTACATATGGGGGACAAATAATGCAAAAACAGAGATGGGAGTGAGGAAACAGAGTAAAAACAAGGAATTCAGAGGACACTGAACAAAGAACCACAATGCCCACCACTCAGAGAACAAGTCCTAGGAGTCAGTGGATGCCACCCAGTCGACCCAGAGAAACTCTGATTGAATAGATGAACAAACGGGTGACAGAAAATAGGCCCCACAGTCACAGATAATCCACCTCCTTCCTAGCTTCCTCTTCCTGGATTAATGGGAGGTCATCTTGGACAATGCTAGAAGCAGAGTGATGAAGTCTCTGGACTTTGTGGGACCACAGATAGGATGTACATAAATAAAAAGGGGCGAGGGGATATGCAGCAAAAACTTTAATAAAAGATTGTGGAAGAGACAGAAAAGGGCCTGCAAACTGGCCCACTGTGGGTATGTATACTCCAGAGTCTCCCTCTGTCTGCAAAAAGGCCAAGTGTTGAGGACTCCATGAACCATACCAAAAACACATCCATGGTCACAGCTCCATGGAACAGCCACCAACCCATATTCCTGGCAGGCTATGGAACGAAGGTGAAATGCAAGCTGGCTCACCATGGAGCCTCTCCTTTGGAAGGTAGTAACAGGTCCGGTCACTAGGCATCTGGGTGGGGTAGGAGGGTGAGGAAATGGATGGTATGGAACACGACCATGTGCA